TACAGTCTAGGTTCTCTCTTGAGTATCAAAAAGAGTGCAGAGCTTAGAATTACACAGCTCTTCTGCCTCAGCTCACTCCTTCCTCTTTCTCCCTCCAGAGGGCTGGATCTCCAGTGCAGAGACTGTCCTAATAGTGGATGACTCATGGAGAGGCTATTGGCAAGCCATCAGCCCCTAGATGTTCCTTCCTCTGCTGTTTGGACGGATTCATCCCCTGGGTGCCCTCTGGGAAAAGGGTCTCCAACATGCTGAGAAACTATATTGTTTTCCTCCTCAGACTTCTCTTTTCACCTATTTGCCCCTCTCATACTTCTTGGTGCCAACACCAATATGGGGAACACATTGTCAAGTCCATTAGCCATTGAAATCATCATGAGTCAACAACAAACCTCTATATCCAGGTCACTTCCACAGAGCAGGAGCCAAAAAATGGACTAGAAGACAGACAAACACACATTGGGAGAGGATGACAGGACACAGAGGAAGCACAAAGAAGCTCTACAAACAGAAACGCAGCTGAGGATCTAGCCCAATGGTAGAGAGCTTGTCTATTATGAATGAGGCCCTGGATTCACCCCCCAGTACCAAAAAGAGAGGGAGAGATAGAGATAGAATAGAGATAGATAGATAGATAGATAGATAGAGAAAATTAGATGCAGAAACTGAGACAGTGGGAAATGAGATCTAAAGAATTCTAGACCCCAGACCTGTGGCTACCCAGTCCCATATAGGAAATAGGGAAGGAGCCTGGAGAGGCTGGGAGGTGGGAGCTCCAGCAGAAAACATCAGAATCAATTCCAGTGGCTTATCACTACCCTTGAAAGGCCAATGAACTCCCTCCAATTTTATATTATTTTATTTTATTTTATTTAAGTACCAGGGATTGAACTCAGGGGCACTTGAACACTGAGCCACATACCCAGCCCTGTTTTGTATTTTATTTAGATACAGGGTCTCACTGAGTTGCTTAGCACCTATCTCACTGTTGCTGAGGCTGGTTTTGAACTCACATGCCTCCTGCCTCAGCCTCTGAAGCTGCTAGGATTATAGGCATGTGCCATTGTGCCCAGCTTCCCCCCAAATTTATTTATTTATTTATTTATTTATTTATTTTAATTTTTGTTGTTTATTTTTTATTTTTTTTAATGATTTAATACATTAACCTCAAGATAAATTTAACATTTATTTATTTATTTATTTTTTAGTTTTCGATGGACACAACATCTTTGTTTGTATGTGGTGCTGAGGATGGAACCCGGGCCACACGCATGCCAGGCGAGCGCGCTACCACTTGAGCCACATCCCCAGCCCGCCCCCCAAATTTAAATCATTCCTTCTGGCAAGTTTGATTTTAAAATAAGAATTTGTCTTCTCTTGGAATTAGAATGGCCAGACACCAGCATAAGGGAGGAATTGCAAGATGATGCAGCTGCCTGAGCCCCATAACAGAAACCCATAGTTCTCAATTTGCATTTATTTCACACACATATAACAATTCTTTAAGCCAAAAGGAACCTAGACATTGCAGAGTCTCACAATGCCAACATTATATGGATGAGGATAACGATGCTTTGTTTTATGCTTTTTTCTCCTTTAGTAAAATTCATTTGTGTGTTAGCAAGAATAACAATGAGGGCAAGAAACACAACTCTGATAAACAATCACCTTCAGAGAACAAGAGTTAAAGAGTTACTTTAAGAACCAGATTTTTTTTTTTTTTGTACAGGGAATTGAACTCAGGGGCACTCGACCACTAACCCACTTTCCAGTCCTATTTTGATTTTATTTAGAGACAAGGTCTCACTAGGTTGCTTAGCACCTCACTGTTACTGAGAGTGGCTTAGAACTCCTGCCCCAGCCTCCCAAGCTGCTGGGATTACAGGCCACTACATCAGCGAAGAACCAGAACTTTAATCATCTTTCCTCTGCCCCCACCAGTCACACTGTACAACATAATGCCTTATTAAACTCTACCAATGTGAGGAGCTGAGGACATTGGAAAGAAGTCCCTCATCTCAAATTGAGTTTTTAATAAAATGAATCCAAAGAAATAAAATAGCAAGAAACACCCATTGCTGCCTTTACCTGATTTTTTATTTCTGATAGTATGAAGCCAGCCATTTGTTGATCTGGTTTTTCCTTTTTAGTTGCATTAATCAGAACTTATTTCAATAAGAATTAAAGTTAGCTTGTAATCACAGCAGGAAGATTGCTTGGGCATCAGAGTTCAGGGTCAGCCGGGGCAACCCCTTTTTAAAATAAATGAGTAAGTAAAACTATTAAAGTTAATATTTATTGAGCATTTCTTGAGTCCTTTATGTATGGCATTCATTCAACCCCACAGCGCACCTGTAAGACAGATATGGCTTCCACTTTATGGAAGAGGGAAATGGGTCCTTAAAGGCTAGTAACTCACCTTGTCAATTTGAAGGGGCAGAGCCAAGATCAAAGCCCCCGTTTGACTTCAGGTTCCATTACACCACACTGCCTCTCATGATCATTATTCCTTTTGTATTTGGCCTTTTGATATTTTGAATTCATATTGTAATTTTCAAGGCAGTGGGCACCCCATGGAGCTTGGTGATTTTATTGAATTTGATTTCCCAGTTTTAAATAAAAAGCCTCTAGTAAGGTCCCCAGGGAACCAGGTGTCCTGCTGTTAAATCCTCCCATCTTCCAGAGACTTGTACTTTGGGGTCAGTGGAGACAAGGGCCTAAGTGACCTGGAAGGGGTCACTTCCCCCAGTGGATGCTTTCTTCCCCACTTAGGTCCATGATCTGTGGTTCTGTTATTTTGAGGATCAACAGAGAAGGGACAAGTCCCAGCCTGTTGGAGCTGGTGGACTATATTTGACACCTGCCTGAACCATTCACTCCCCTGTGAAAATATGTCAGGTTAAACAGCCTCTCTACGCCTTGGTGTCCTCCTCAGTGGAAAGAGGCCAGTTCAGTACCTATCCTCAAAGAGGCTGCAGGGAATGAATAAGGATGTGTACATAAGGTGCTTGTGTATACAGTACATGTTCAGTGTCAATCTTTGATATAGATTCATCAATATAGATTCATTGATATATATTCATTTTAATAAGCTACAGCTTTGTCACAGTAAAGCCCATACAACCAAGAATTACTGTTAGGAGAGAGCACCCACTTTGCAGAGTGTGATGAGGATTGAATAAGTCAATGCTCAAGTAAATTCTCAAAAGATGTCAGCAATTGTAACTACGACCATTATTATCTGTTAGTGAACCAAATGCCCACCAAGTGTGAA